GTAGTTCCAGCTACTTGGAAGGCTGAGGCGGAAAGATCGCCAGAGCCCAGCAGGTCGAGGCTGCGGTGGCCGGGAGCGGTCACTGCACTCCAAGCTGGGCGACGGAGCGAGACTCCAACTCCAAAAAAAGAGAAAGTCATTTGGAGAGGCATGGAGAAAAAAAGCTGCAAGTGGCCATGCGAGGTGGCTCACACTTGTAATCCCAGAACGTTGGGAGGCAGAGGGGGGAGGATTGTTCGAGTCCAGGAGTTCAAGACCAGCCTGGACAAAAAAGCGAGAGCTGTCTCTGCCAAAAAAAGAAATAAAGAAAAAAAACATTATCCAGGCAAGGTGGCACGCACTTGAAGTCTCAGCTACTCCAAAGGCTGAGGCGAAAAGATCACCTAAGCCCAGGAGGTTGAGGCTGCAGTGAGCCATGAATGTGCCACTGCACTCCACCCTGGGCAAGTTAAGTCCCCAACTCAAAAAAAAAAAGCGCCGGGCTCGGCCTGTAAATCCCGTGCTGGGAGGCTGAGGTGATAAAATTGATAAAATTTCACTGCCTGAGCCTGCGGGTTAGAGATTCGCCTGGGTCTCGAACCCGCAGGCTCAGGCAATCCACTCACCTCAGCCTCCCAAGGCACGGGATTACACGCTGAGCCACCGAGCCCGGTTAGGGAGTGAACTTTTTTTAAATAAATCTTTTCTTCTCTCACCTCTTTGTGTCACAATTCTTTGCAATCTACTCGGATCTCTGGGTTGCCAGCACACACTTCCAGCTTGCCAGCCCTTGCAGTGCTGTGCGCCTCTCTCTATCCACCCTCTCCCTGTCCGTCCATACCCTAACAGTGGGGACCAAAGTGAGTCCCAAACTTTACCTGTACAATGACCATTTGTGTACCTAATACTGAATTGTACCCCACATCTTTAAAATAAAAAAAAAATATTAAAAAGAGAGAAGTGAGGCCGGGCTCGGTGGCTCAGCCTGTAATCCCAGCACCTTGGGAGGCCGAGGTGAGTGG